TATAAAGATTCGAGTGATAACGACACCGAATAAGTACGTACTTATTCAAAATATAAAACTTTATTTTCAATATTATATAAGAACTTTATTTTTATTCGGTGCATGCGGACCGGCCAAAAGAAGGTGACGCATTTCTGGCTGTCATTGTCACGTTTCTTTTAGAACGAACTGACGTAACGCGCGTTTTGTTTATTTTAAAGGGATGAATTTGCAAAAGCTCAATATGGTGATTATATTGCTTCAAATATTTTTTTTAATATGAAACTGTTATTAAATGAATTGCTACGTTACTTACCATAAATTGAAATATAAAACATTTTTCGCGATGTACCGTAAGATTTTACGATGTTAGGAACCACAGACAATATTATTTAAGAAACAAAAAAACAAAACATATGTGACCTAGAAGTGTGAATAATATCAATATTTAAATATTGTTATCACATCTAAATTGAAATTTTGTAAGTTACGCCTTTTCGATAAGTTCGGCTCATATCTGAGGTCATTGTCCGTTTTTCTCAATCGATTTGACACATACTATAGAAAAATTCATCTAAGAAACACTGGCCATGCATGGCGACATGAGCTGAAGAAGATACTATTATTAGGTCTAGGAGATATGGTTGTCAATTATGATGTATCCAAAGGAAGAATGGATAAGTTGCGACTATGCGACTTTATAGAAAAGCGGAACGTGAATTATGCATATGTATACATAAATTCAAATCAGCACGTGGTTTCTTTTAAATAAAATATATTGGAAAAGAAACAATACATGCTGATTTCAATTTAAAAACTAAATTTATTCTGTTATGTCATTAAATTTGTAAAGGGCAACATGAAAATATTTGAATATACTTAAACCGTAAAATATAGTAGTTAGGAATGAGGGTAGAAAATAAAAGAAATTATAATAAGAAAAAATGAAGGTGGAACACTTATATTTTAATCACTCTAGCAATATAAATTAGGCGACTTTTTTAGTCATTCTATGGTATAGTCTGTTCACTAAGTTAGTGTCGGTACACCTGGAGGCAAACCTATTATTTTGCTTTTATTTTTTATTGTTTGTTAAAAAAATTCTAAGAATAAAATAGAACATAAAATAAACACAAGGTAGGTAGCAAAGAACCTTTCGGTTGTACGACGCACGCGACGTCAATGTTGCGGAGCGGTATAGGTTATGTTTCGTAGAGGCTACCCAGTGTCATATCGAGATAAGCAGTTTTGATGTTTAGTTGCGTACTCTATCTATTTTGGTGTTATGTAGCTGTAGCCATCATGTTACAATGATGTGTGATTTTTCCTGAAAGTATTACGGTATGGTCAAATTGTAACGGCTTCATATTGATTTTCAAGTGCGGTACGCTGTTTTGTGGCTGATACTGGTCTCTGGCACTTTATTATTTTTAAAAATAACATTTTCTTTTATATTTCTAGCATTAAAGTGGGATAATTTTTAATTGCAAGAATAAAAATAAAACTCAAACATAAATTGTTATAGGTATTAATAGCAGATGTATTCAAAAGAATTTTTAAGAGTTAATGGATTTTATCTTTCACTGATATACCGGATTATAACTATTAATAAGTATTATTTATTAGGTTTTTATAAAGGCTGGAATCAAAAGGAAGGCTCAAGTTGCACAGTAAGAAAAAGTTGACAGTGGTACAAGACACATGTGAGGTCATTTATCCTATGTTATATTAAAATCATACTTATATTACAAAAAAGTATTGTTCAAATTATTACGTTCTTAGTTTATTGGCATGGAGAAAGTATTGTAAAGTAAAATGCATAAAGAAAAATTTCTAATCTTTGGTCTTAGTTATTTCATGATGTTATTAAATTATAAATGTGAATATAAAAATATGAATGAAACCAACTAAAAATTATAAAATACAACTTACTTAATCATTTTATCTATATAATATTTCAGATAAACTATTTTATTTACAACAATTTAAATACTTATGCACATAAATTTTTGAATACACAACATTGAATTCGCCCAACAATCTAATTTTAAATTGCTTACAAATTCAAAACAAAACTATTTTTACATCAAAGAGAAATATGATTCTGGCGGAAGCAGACAAGGCATGAGCATTGAAAATTTCTTTGACCTCTCTCGATGTTTAGCTGTATTACTTGAATAAAGCTAACAAGTTCGTTAAATAGAATTCAGAACATAAGACACGGAATACACTACATTTATTATTGTGGTTTACAGTTTAAAAAGCCATTTGAATGTGCATTTGCAGCGTTAACATAACACATGGACATTTTTGAGTTTTGCTATTACTAAACCATTCCAGTAACCAAGTTTAAATACTACTTGACAGTTGGCCAAGGTGGCGATTGATGATATTTTCTGATAGTAATCTAAATATCTTTAGTACTGTTACAAATAAATGTTAATTAGGGTAACGACAAAGGTGATAAAATGCTCTAAATGTGATGTATCATAATGCCAAGTCTGTTTCAACCGTTAAAATCTTGCATGTGGATTCTAAGCAAGGCACAAATAGCAAATCATATGATAAAATAAATAGGAGAAATTTTAATTGAATATATACTGATTTAACACACAAAAACGCAACAGTATAACATGATGTATTATAAGTGATTTAATTAATTCATAACTTTTAAACTAACAACTAACTAAAGAATTATTTCTTTTAGTTATGTAACTATATCAAGCCGAGATAGAATTTTCTTATGTCATAGAAACTTAAGGCATTGCAAACAATTTCCAGAGACTAATGTAAAACATTTTTCGAAGATATCTGGGCTGCAAGAATTGAGAGTAGGTTAAAATATTTGCCGTCGCAGTGTGCTCGAATGACCGAGCTACGCAAGAGGGAGAGAGACCCACTGTAACTGAGATTGATTATATATACCTATGAAAGATTGATGAAATCATCATGTCGTATTCCCTTGTTTCCTTCTCCAAAAGTGAACCGATCCTAATTTTTTTCAAGAACATGTTTTTATTTTTATTTTATGTCTTCAAATTAACGGCTGGATGTCCGATAACCACGACATAACTAACAAATACTACTTGTTATTTCAGAAGGTCCCTAGTTATTATTTAAATTTGGAAAAAATAAAAAAATACATAGGAACATGTCAGTGGTAGATATAGTTTGTATCGTAATAAATATTTAGTATACTGTCATTATCTGTGTTTAAAAGAGAAATATCCTTATATGGACTAAAAACAGCCTAGATATTCTCATAACATGTAACTTTAAACTATCGCTGATTGAAAACAGAACAAATTCGGAAACTACTTCCCCTTAAGGTGCGCTTACACGAGGGCAATAATTGCTCGGCGACACGAATGGACCGATCTGGAGAAATTAATGGAGCAATTTCAAAGCAATGGAGCAAATTGCGGCAATTATTTCGGCGATATTGCTTCTAATTGCTCCAGGTATTTCATATCGCTCAGTGTCGCAGATACGAATTGACGAATATCCAATGGGCTTGGAAATTCCTAGCAATTTTTGTATATATCTCATTCGCACTTGTTTGTTTTGCGGCTTGCCGTCTTGCTTCTGCGGGGAGAGCGAGAGGTCGGGTCTGTTCGTGACATTCTAGTAAAGTTTTTGAATAATATATCATCTAATTCTTTACACAATGAAAATTGCGGCCTCTTTGCCAAAAACGATCGCACCCAGATACGTCCATTCCTTTTCCTTCTTTTTTGTTTTTGATTAATATTAAAAAAAGCGCTACAAGCCCTGCGCAGCAAGAACAATGTCGTCCATAGCGAGCGAATACTGAAATGCTCGTGTAGGACAGTATTGCCTAGTTGATGAAGTTGCGCCATATCGCTCAATATTGTATTGCGCAGTATTGATGCTTGTTGCCGTTGCCGTAAATTGCTTGAAGTAGTCGTGACGTCATAGTTGATGAGTATTGACTGAAATTGAGCAATTTTAGTTGCCCGTGTAAGCGCACCTTTAGATCGTCCTAGGTTCTAAATTTCCAAAACTTTAACAACACGTAACTGAATATTGCTACGTACTTAGATACACCCTAAGGGTGCTTACCTATAACAGAACATTGAGACAAATAATGCAACACGACGATATTACTTAAGTAACACTAACATCAAATAATTGGAATTCAGTAGTATGTATACCTAAGTATTACTTCAAGCGACATAATACTGATGATTTTCGTGAATTAGCTACATTATATTCTATTGTACAAAAACGAGGACGTGGGTAGAAGATAAATAATATTTCTCAAAAATGGTATTAAGGTTTTTGGCGCTTTATAACGAACCATAAATATAAATTAATCGTTATAAAGGCTTAGTAACTGAATTGCCATAGACACCCTGTTGACCTAAAATATTTATTTAATATAAATGAGACTAATTTTTGATTTTAAACTGCATCGAGGATGGCCCCTTGTGCGATACGCAGTTGCTGAATCAGTTTTATATCACAATGTTCCCATAAACAAGTGTACAAAATGTGAAAAATTAAACAGTTTCAGTGCCAGTCGATTTAAGTATCACGGTAAGAAAATATTTCTAAAACACTACCGGTAGATAAATTTGGCGGCAAACGGGGGCGTCGTTGCTACATTACACACGTTAAACACCTTGAATAGAACACACTAAAATTATGCACTTTATTACAGATATATTGTGGATATACAATTAGATCTAAATCGAGTTACAGATCCTGCAAAACACAGAATGAGAGAGCTCTTTAGAGGCTCACTTTCCAAAGCGTACGAATAAATGAATCATAGAATGATTCTAACTTTAATATTATTTCGTATGTACTTTTCGGTACAAATTATCCGTAAATATTTTTATGGTTTACTTACGAATTCATTTATTGTTACGCCTGGTTTGCAATGGCAAGAGCCACGAGGGGAAGACACGCGCGACTTGCGCACCATATGAAGCGGGAGTGAATGGAGCGTTCGCCGGCGTCGATTCAGGATCGGGACGAAGTTCGTTTTCCGAACGTTAGCAGAGGCCATGCAGGCGACGGGCGGAAGGCGCCGGCCGTGCTGCCGCCCACAGTCGCAACAGCGGGCGGCCGCAAAATGCGACCAAACCACCGGCGGCCCAACGAGCGGTCGTCGCTTCTTCGACCTCAGCGATGCGGTTTAGAGAACGCGACTCACGTAAACGGCTCTCCTTGCGCGCCGCACGTCGTCGTCGACCACCGGCGGAGCCGCCTCGAGCGTCGCCGGCGGACCCTGTACTGCCGTTCGTACCGCCAGAGTCGCCGGGCCCCGCGGTCGTGGTGTGCGTCGCGCGCGGTGCTTGTCGGCCGCCACGTCCGCCCGCCGCGCCGCCTCGCTCCTGACTGTCGCTGGAGTCGTCGTGCGAGTCGCGGCGCGCGCGTTCGTACGGCGCGTCACTTTGCTCGGCGGCGCGTTTCTTCTTCTCCGAGTCATCATCGGACAGGTCAGAGGAGGAGCAGGAACCAGCGCGCGGGCGTCGACGCCGGCAGTCGATGCGCTGGCGGCGCGCGGGCGGCGGCGCGGGCGGCGGGGCGCGCGGCGGCGTCGGCGTTCCAGCGCCCGGCGTAACGCTCGCGCGTCGCGTCTCCGTCACGCCGTCGTCCAAGTTCACCTAAAAATCGTATGCCATTTCTAAAGTTTCGTGTATGCCGACCGTGTGGCAGAATGAGACACCGGTAGTAAGACGAGTGGGCTGAGTACGTACAAACACAGAAGTGTACTGCATGCGTTTTTGTTGACATCAAAATGATAGTCACTTTGTAGTAAATTGCGTCGTTTTTTATGTAGCTCTCATGTAACTACCAAAGACCATGAGTTGCTACCAAAGCTCATAAACCATATGACGCAATGTACTACAAAGTATTTATCCTTTTACTGACAACATAGTTACCGTATAGACCTGCTGTACACTATAATTTCTCCTTACCCAGAAAATAGCTTTTTGATTGATTGGGAGGCGTCTATTTATTACGTGGGGCGTTTAGCGGGGGAGTGGGTCCAGCCGAATCTGACCCTATGTCACGTTTGAGAAAGGGGAGTCAAGGCAAATATCTATAAAGTAAGTAAATGCAAATATATAGTAAAATTGCGAGAAAATTGGTTTAAATTAATTAAAACACGTTTCTCCACTAAAATATGGCTTAATACTGCACAATAATATTTATCGCGTTTATATGTGAACGCCACAAAGTAACACAATAGTCCACCTGATTGTAAATTAATGCTGTGGCCTACAGACGGCTACATGCAACCCATTTGCATTTGGTTCTTAACCCTCGATTAAGAACCAAATGCAGATGCGTTGTTACCCCAGAAGACTACTATGGAATGCCTCGTTTCTAATAAAGTATTTCCAGTTCTCTAAAATCACCATACAAAGCACAGCAGCATGAAGCTACTATTTGACGCTGGTATTCTGTGAGAGCGTGGTCCTTCTCCGGTCGAGCCAACAAATTGGTTCGAACATGTGTAAATTATGATAACAATTAAGCAAATTAGGTAGTTTTAATAAAACCAACACAAAATCACAGATAAACGTATGTACACAAAAATACGCATTTTGAAAAATATCACGCGAGATTAGGGGGGAGGAGAGGTCAAGCCAAATCTCAAACATCTCACAGGCGTAATATATCATCCGTTATTTCGGATAATGAGAGACGAGAACCAAATATCCAATGTGCTGGTAACAAGGTATTCCATCTAAATACTTAAAATTATTTTCTAAATTAGTACCTATTTTAAAATGTCTAAACCTACGCTCTACACAATTATGTAAATTTCAAATTTTGCTCCAACTGTTGCTTTTATTTCACATGACGTTAACATTCAACAAAACATCTTCACTCCATATATACATCAAATAAATAATAAAATACGCCAATATCTAACATATTATATAAGTTTTTTTTAATTATTATTATATTATGCATGTCTGAAATTCTTCCATTTCTTCTAATAATTATAATATGAATGAATTAATTAAATTTTAGTGAAAAATTAAGTGTTTACCCGTGGTCCATGTAGGTCAATCCACTAACGGGTCACGTCACCACGGGTCATTTTATTACCCGTAGACCGTTTAATTTACACTAGCTGCTGCTGCTCATCTTCTGTATCATCTGCCTCTTACAACATCCACCGGAATGGTATTTTTTATTACGTGCGAGCAGCTATGCAGGTCTAGGGAAAGAAAGAGACCAGTATCACTGCGACCTAGATCTATTGTGATCGCTGCTATGGCTATAGTTCACGGCTAAGCCCTATGTCTTCAATGAATAGAAGGAGTTGCTTAGCCGTGAGCAATTTCACTTCTTCTGGGCGGAGTACATAATTTACCAGATGAGTTTCGCGTTTGCGCATTAAGGGTCCGCAATCAGTTACGATGTGTAGAGGCGTTTCTTCCGTTATGGAACAGAACCGACACATCCTTGAGTTGCTTAGTCTCAGGATGGACATGTGCTTTTTAAGACTACAGTGTCCAGTTAGGGCTCTTGCCAGAATGCGCAATTTATTTTTACTTAATCCCAGGGCTTCTGAAGCGAATTTAAGATCAAAAGCCCGGATTAAGGTTTTAGAATGTTTTAAGCCTGGTGTGTCAGACCAGATCTTAAGTGATTTACGGGAATGATATGGGATAATGGATTCTCTTACGCCGCCAAAACACGGCAAACGTTCACACACTTCAGTCAGCATTCCAAAGTATTTATCGAATTGTAATCACTAGTCTACGGGTAAATAAAATGACCCTTGGACTAGTTAGTAGGTCGACTGACTTACTGGGATTAAGGATAAACACTGAAAATTATAAACAAATTCGGGTCCAAGAATAACTCTAAATTTTTATTGTGTTATTTCTACATTTTAACAAGAAAGTCGTAAATAAAGATATCAAAGAAAAGTATGTCTTTCTTTGAATATAAAAATACGGCCAGAAATCAATAATAAAATATATGATTTTTTTTAAATAATTTTATTATTAATTTAACCATTCATTAAAGTAATATAATATGATATGAGACTAAATAAAACAGATTTTGTAATAAAACATGTCACTTTTAATTAAACATTAACACAGTGGTACAATGTTCATAAGAGTAGTTACTGACGATAAAATAGGTGACATTATTTACGATTTCCTTTTACTATCAATACGATTTTACTGAAATCTTTATTTCATAAAAAATACATCTCTCAAGAATAAGATAAATAAGTTTTTTTAGGTAATTAAGTATTTTATATAATATATCAAAATACCCAATTCTTACATACTATATATACTTAACTTTTTAAATTATTACTTAACTATAACAGTTCAAATGCAGTTCTTTATAGGTTCTTTTGACTATGGTTTATCGTTAATAACGAGAATTTATTTTTCAGCAAAATACATGAAAATTAGTATTAATACATATTTAGATTCGATTTTTTTTCAAGAGTTTTCATATTATTTTGAATTGTATTGAATAAAATCATGGAAATAACTTTTGAAATTCTTATCTACATGATTGATTATCTTACTATACTATTACTACTTTATAAATGTTATAAATCGCTATATTACTTATTTTATTCCTAAAATTACGTAACATTTTCATTGACATATTTATACAGTCATATACAGTTTAAGTTTGAGTGTGACACATCAAAAATTGTTGAGGACAATCAAAGTTATGAGTATTACTGAAAAAAAAAATATTGAATACACATTACAAAGTAGCACCAAAGTCATTTATTATAGGAGCGAGTTTTTAAATTCTCTATATATTTATGGTATTTAATGCATACATAATTATCGTATTGACCGGCATGTATATATCACATTTAGAGGCGTAATTAAAAATTATTTTTATAACTTCATAATTGAAATTAGAAAAGTTCATAAGGAGTGTTAAAAAGTTATAATAGGTATATCTTTACAGCATTATTTATAGGTTTTCTTAAATAAAGCAAAACTTAGTTAACAAGCGCGTCAATGACGCTTTTTCAATATAGGTATAATTGAATTTATATTTGTTAAACATACATTTTTAAATAAAATGCTTGTAGCGGTTATAAGTAAGCAGAGTTGAAATAAATAATAATCTTCATAGATACAAGTATAGCTTTAGTAGAAGCAGTAAGCATGTAGTAAGACCGAATCGCTGTGTTCGTTGGTACTGTAAGTGAAAAAAGACAGTCATAGATAATAATTAATACTATAATGATTAATTTTATAAATCTTTTCTTAATGACCATATAAAGCGAAATTGAAGATAAATGTAGTTAGTATTTTAAAGTTGCCCTTTAAACCACCCCTGGAATCTTTGTGATAACGTTATTATTATCCTTATAAAGTTGCAGTTTTCTAATGGCTAGTTTAAATCTCTTGCATTCAACTTGGAATTTCAAATAAAATCTTTAAAATTTATTAAAAATTCTATTTTTCTCAAATTGACTTAATACCACATTAAGACAGACACTGAAGATTGAATGACATGAATTTTACAGATCTGTAAAATGTTTCATCTATATATGATATGGGAAAGGAAAATTTATACCTTTATTTGGCATAGTTGAAGTTAAACGTGTAAAGTTAGTTAAAGTTATATGGAGGCGTGAAGACTATACAAATTTTATTTTTACTTTTAAATACTTTGTGTCCCTGGATAAAGTAGACAAACGAAAATGGGTAAAACTAGACCATTATTCATCGAATTACTTTTTATTAATTAAGTGAATTTCGTTAAAATAAAAACAAACCCTTTAAAAACAGTCATCAAGAATATATTGCGGGATTTGTGGCAGAAAACGTTACGTTTTCTTGAAGAAATTTTGAAATTTTGTCCGATTTTTTCAATAAATTTCGATTTTTACAAAATAAAATCCCAAGAACCCTCTTTTTAAATTCCATTTTATGAAACTCAATCTTATATACTTTTCAAAAAAAAAAAAAACAAGCAACATGCTATTTTTATCACAGGTTTTGCTACGAGACGTTAAGTGATAAGAGCAACATGAAAACAACAAACATAATATTATTTTATTTATTTTAACGAAATTCACTTAATCAATAAAAAGTTATTATGTTTTAAACAAAAGTCTTTAATAGGCAATAAAAAAGCTAAAAAGTCGATATTAATTATAACGATTTTTTAAATTTTTTCCAATTTTACTGTCGATGAATAATGGTTTAGTTTCACCCATTTTCGTTTGTGCACTTAATCCAGGGGACACACCGTATATAACTAATTATATACCGTTATTGCAGTTTTATATATTCACGTGGTATAGCCATGCTGCAGCTATATTAGTAGCATACTTTCAGCACGAATGGTTCGGTTCGACCGGGGAAGGACCACGCTCTCACAGAATAACAGCGCAAAATATCAGTTCAACGTTGCTGTCTTTCGTATGGTAAATGTAGAGAACCGGAGACACATTTTACTGGAAACCCCCTCTTCTTGGTCTATCCTCGATGACAGTTGATTCGTTATCGAGGACAGATGTCTATGGGCTATAACAACCACTTACCATCAGGTGGATTGGGTGCTAGTTCGTCACCCTTATCTTATAAAAAATAATTAAATAAAATAAAACATTTATTGTTTAGAATCAAAATCAGAATATTTA